TGGTTGAAAGTTTCTTGGATACACTCATAATTAACGTTAAATCTACGGACTCTTGAAAAAGCCACGTGTAGCGCTGCCCATGCGAAAAACAGTTTCCGGTACATACAACCCTGCTCCTTGAAGCGTCTGACCTTGTACTTTATTGATTGTCATAGTAAAGGCCACCTTTACCGGGAACTGTTTTCTTACCAATTGGAAAGGTATGACTAAAAAATTAATTTATGGGGTGGTAAATCCGACGGATTCAGTGAGGTTAAAAATTCTATAGGATATAAGTTGCTCACATATTTTTAAACAGAATCTGAACTGAGGTAAATCTTCTTCATCAAATAACATATTTGAAATAATATGCTCATTAATTTTTGTGCAATCATCATTTTTTTGACATAAAATCGCTGCTGAATAAATTTGGGTAGTGTTGTTATCATTGATTTGCGTGCCATTGAATACGGAAGTAATAATACTGTCGTAATTGCATAAACATTTAATCGCCTCATTGGAGTATTCCGTGTGAACTTCTAAATCGCCAATACCTAATTAGAGCGGTCATTCAGTAAAAACATGATCCTCATTTGCATATTTTGGGTGAACTTATGAGTTTTAACCTGTCGGCACAAAGGTGGTCGTTTAACTGAACTTTCAACGATGCCCGTCCTACTGCTATGTCTAACGACAGATAACACTTGACGGAAGTCTCCACTAAACAACTATTTTGGCTCCAAAAGGAAAACTATTATTCATTATGTCTCTCAAAAGTCGACCTACTACACTGATTGCTTTTTTGGGAACCATCGAAATCTCATCCCAAATAATGAGGTCCGAGTTACGGAGAATAGTTATATTTGGCAACCCTCTTCAAAATTAGTTATTACCTCGAGTTAAGAGTGCAAACGCAATGCAAATTTTTAGTCAATATCTATATGTGACACGAAAAGTTAAAAGGGACCTACGACGCTCAGAAAAAAAGATTTCGAGAAAAAACGACTTTGAAGTTTACCATGTTGATTTTGATGCTTCTGAACGTTTTAATGGATCGCGGATTACGAACCCGATGTTAGTTTTCCAAAATTCAAAATCCAAATGGCGGATGACTTTTTTAAAATTAAAATTAATCGGAATCGCTTGAAACTCGTCACCCGGGGGTTTTTGGCGTCGCTGATTACGAATCCGATATTCGTTTTTAAAAATTCAAAATGGCGGATCCAATATGGCGGAAAAGAATTAAAATTTGTTCGGATTCATGTGAAACTCAAAAATGTCGTTGACACCGAAAACGGGGTCAGTGATTACGAATCCGATGTTCGAAAACCCCCGAGTAACGAGTTTCGAGCGAATTTGATTAATTTCAGAATAGTTTGTCAGATTTGATTTTTTTGTACTTTTTTTTGTGAAAGTACCTAACTTTGAAGTGAAATTGTGAAAAAAAACTAATGCAGCTAGAAAGCTGCGGTTTATTGCATTGGAAAGAGTGGCCCGTTTACTATAAGAATCGATGAAAAAGTGAAACCCGATTTTTTCTGACCGTAGGTTCCTTTTAACTTTACTTGTCACATATATTAAGTCAGTAAAATTTTAAGCAGGTGGCAACTTTATCAAAAAGGTTTTCTTTTTACCTGAAACGGTGAACTGCCCTTCAAAATGGTGTTTCAATCATTCAATTAGATGGAGTATTATGGAAGATATGGCGCTTTATTGGCCGGATGCAGTGCTTTCAGCTTTTACAAATCCCCTTTCATTAAAAAATAATCCGCCCTATCGCCAATTTCGTATGAATAAATCTTTCCCATAATTTAACATGCAAAACAAAAACAAATTGGGAAAAATTGTTTTTGTTTTGCTTTATAATTTTTGGGAATATTTGTTCATGTGAAATTCGCGATAGGGCCGAATTTAATTTGAACAACGTACATGAAGCATGTACGCGAGCTTCTTCTCTTCAAAATGAGATATTATTCATTAGATTTGATGAAATATTAAAGGAGATATCGTTTGGTAACAGAAAAATTCCTATTAGAAATTAGATTTTAGGCGTAAAGTTTCAGTAACCAATCCTATTTTTGTCCATTTTTTAATAGTATAAAATGATGGCCGGTCTAATGGACAGACATATACATAGATATCGGTTGCCAAATCGCCCGGCCTAATGCATATGTAAGCATGTACACATACAAATGTATTTATATATGAAAATAAATTCAAGCTGCTTCACAGAAACCTTTTGGTTTGATATTAGCTTGAGACGCATTTGATATTAAATAGATTTCTGAAATCTCCAACGTTAATTCTCTACAGCATTTCAACAAGCGGATTATAGAGTTCTCAACTAAAAAGGCAATTTTTAAATGAAGATTTTCTTGTTTTCAATTTGAGAAATTGGTAACTCTTCACTTGACTTCAAAGTAATTGTTTTGTAAATAAAATATAAGTGGTATAAAAATATCAAAAACTAAATTTTGTGATATTGAATTCTAATTTTTTTTGAATTATAGCAATTATCCTTTCTTTTCTAGGAATCCAAGCCTTCGTGCCTCGCCAGGAACAGAATTTGCCCACGTTTTGAAATGAATCTCGCGCTTTCAACACTCAAAATTATGTCCACGTTTAATCAATATCATGATGCTTAATAAGATTTCTTAATTCTTTAAGTGATCAAAGATACCTACTATGAACTTAAGATAAGCAAGATAAATCCGTTATTAAAAAATCGTTTTCTATAAATTATAAAAAACTGACTATAAATATACATTTACGTTTACAGTTTTTAAAATATGGAAATCATTGTTCAGTAAGCCGAAAACAAATTGTCTTCTTGACTGGCGCTCTAATTGGCTAGGCGATTCTGGCCGAGTCCAACAAAGCACGCCTGTCGTTTTGAAATATGTACATTAGACTGTCCCAACGTTTCTTTTATATCCTTCTCATTTTATTGGTATAGCATTTTCAGTTTAAATGAAACCATTTCCAAATGAAAAAGGTTTCATTTAATTTGAAAAAGGTTTCGCTTTATCTGAAAAGGGTTTCATTTAATTTGAAAATGGTTTCGCTTGACCTGAAAAAGGTTTAATTTAACTTTCAAAAGGTTTCGCTTTCCTTGAAAATGGTTTCATTTAATTTGAAAAAAGTTTCATTTAAACTGAAAATGCTATATGGTCTTAAAAACTATCCGAATAAAATTTTATACAATTCGGACCACGTCAACTCATGCCGACTTGCAGTCAAAGTTATCAGAATAAGCTTTGTGCAGTTCTCGTGTTTTGTTAATTTGCTCATTTTACTTCTGTATAAGATGGTATTACTATACTCTCCACAGTATTAGGACTCAATATTTAATAAATCCGCGTTTTTGATTTTTTACCTCGTAGTCAGGAGGTTTACTAAAGGACCATAAATTATAATATATTTCCAAAAGTTTACGCAAAATATGGATATATGGGTGTTAATTGAAAGGATTCGAAACAAGTTTAATTATAACTTTTGTTTGCAGCTATCCTTTTGGAGTACGCGCAAATGTCCTTTAAAAATGTCATCGTTCAATACGTTTTATTGTAAATGCATTTTTCTTAATCTTAGTTTAATTTTCATCCTATGAATATATATAAAGATATTATAGGATAAGAATTTCAAGGGCTGTTTTTACAAATTTTAAATTAGTACTTCCACATTTATTCCTTAATCCAACCCGAGAGGAGCACAGGCCACCCGGGGCCACAGCGTGGCGGGCTGTGGACGACCTAACTTGTTAGGCTAGCCGCTAATACCCAATTTGCAGCCCCCGACCAAGAGCGGCTAGAGTGGAGGGTTTGGCTGAAAAGGCCCTACGCACCCAAGGAAACTCCAGTGCCAGGGCGAGTACTCGCCGCCCTTTAAGTAAGCGTTCCCAGGGACTGCTCCGAGGGAGTACCTACCCCAGAGAGGGAGGCAACAGTGCAACGCGGGACCAACAAATTAGGTTGACACCTCGCTGAAATGGCTGGCAGGCTAATGCTGCAATTGCCTCCGTCTCGTTAAAACCCTGGCAGGTCTTCAAGTACGTTCGAGACACGTCGCCATTCAGTTGGCCGCACAGGTCCAGTTGAGATGCACTCCTGGTTTTGCGCTGTCCTTGGCTCTGAACACAATGTCCCATAAGGAATTGTGACAACCCTCGCGATGGCCTGCTCTTTTGAGGAGGGAACTTCGGGGACATTCAAAGGCGACTGTGCTACGTGTGGAGATAGCGGCTTGAAGCGGAGACCCAAAAGAACAAATGAACACTTCAAAACCAAACCAACAAAAAGAACAACAAGAAGCACACAGCGCTCTTATCCAAGAAGAGAATGTAGGCATATTCCGCAGAAGCAGCAGGACTTTGCGCTCGCCAATCCTGCAGAGCACACCAACGCTGCAGGCAAAACAAGCGAAAGCAGTTACGAACGCTGATCATGCCCCAGAAGCAACAGATCTGGTCGACTTAACACGCCCAGAGATAGAAGGCATCAAAAATTCAAGACATGAGAAAAACACTTCGCCAGCTGTACACCCGACAACGTCAGGTCCTATCTCCCCAAGACAGGACTTTATTATCAAGATGAGACTCGCAGAAGAGGAGTCCTTGAAAAAATGCAAAAGCATCGTCTAAAAAATTAAGCAAGCTATAGCGAAACAAAGGAATTTCAGCCTCGAGGTGAAGAATGGAGCTGCACAACTAGAAGAAATGTTCGACATCATCCAAAGCTACCGCAGAAACTGGAAAATGAAAGAAACAGAGATCGGAAGTGCAGCCCAGGCTAACGTGACGGACACCACGACACCACTAAAAAGACGAGCGGCAAGCCCACCAGAACAGCAGCCAACTCAGAAAACGCGAAAAGAAAAGGACGGGGAATGGAAACAAGTGACAAACAAGAAGTTAAAGGCGAAGAAACCGGACGGGAAAGAAAACACGCCAGGCAAACCAAAATCTCCGGAAAAAAAAGGCAAACGAGAAGCGAAAAGGCCCTACTAAGTCTAAAAAACTCTCAGAGGCCGTAGTGATTAAGCCGGCAGAAGGGAACAGCTACGCAGATGTCCTGAAAAATATTCGCAGTAAGCTGAAATCAAGTGATGAAGTCAAGTTGAAGGGAATCCGGGAAACAAGGGCTGGAGCAGTACTACTGGAGCTAGAGAAGGGGCAATCGGCGAATTCAAGCTTCTGCGAGGTATTAAAGTGCACCCTACGACAGACCGCTACTGTAGCAGACCTTAAACCAAGGGCCACAGTCGAAATAAGACTTCGATTCCTTAACGACAAAAGAGGAAGTCGAAGACTCAGTAAGGGGTATGCTGCAAGGATACGACAAAGCTATGAAGATCAACATCTCCGCTCCCAACAGTAGAGAACAGGTGAGGGCCTTCGTCACGCTCGATGAAGAAAAAGCTGAAATAATAATAAA